CAGGATAAAGATTTTTTTTTCTTTTGGCAGAATTGAGTGTGCAAAAGTTGATAGTAGTGTAGATAGTGTGTACGGTTGTACTTTATGCGATGTCTCGTGCATGATTGTAGGTTTATCTTGATTTTGAATAAGAGATCATGATAGTGTTGCTCTGTGCATGACTGATTTGATTATGAAATTGGTTTGTCTTAACTACGCCATTAGAAGTGAAAAGAGAAAAAAAAAACGGGGCGTAACAACTACTCACCCGAACGTCACCATATAGTATGCACTACATGCACGCCACTATATATAAGTACCAGAATCGGCACCACAACCTCCTACTCTATCGTCGCCAAGATTGGCGCACCAATATTCATCTTCTCCGGTACAGATATCGGCACCACACTAGCAAACTCGCCCTCAAATCTCGCTACACCTCGGCCTAACTCCATTTTGGTCGACTCCCTTCCCTCTTCCTTACTTACACTCGGCTCACTCATCATTCCTCATCTCCCTACCTCCTCCCCATTCGAACTCCTCCACATCGATGACCTGAACATAAATTCAATCTATATCACCATAACAACATCTGAATAGTAGAATTTATTTATCTATAGCCTTCATCTCCTCTTAGCTCGGTAAAATCTTCTTCACTTGTACATTTCTTCGACCTCCGTTATCGATCTCCCCTTCCCTTCTTTACTCTCCTTCTTTCTCTGCCGATCGCTTCTCCCTCTTTTCCCCATTTTTCTTTTTTTTTTTTTCACTCTCTTTTATATACTCCCCTCCCCATCAAATCCTACCCATTCATTCTAGCCCTCTAATCCTCACCACTCAATTGTTTGACTCTGCTAAAGTATTACAATTATCGACCCTCTCTTAGTATTTTTTGAGAAAATTTTTTATAAGAAAGAAAAATTTATATTGAAACTTGTAAAGCTAATAACTAGTAAACTAAGAAATAATTTTTTCTTACTAGTTCGACTAACTAAGCTTAAGGAAGTGGGGAGCATCCAACATCTAATAACATGTGACATAATATTGTGTTAAGCTTGTAATTTTTTTTTTCATTTCTATTAACTTGAGCTTTGGAGTCTTTTTATTAGAATAAAATTCATAAATTACGAGTTATATGCTTTTTAAGTTATAGAGAACATGTGAGACTATCGCAACTGTTAATCTTACATAATCAAATATATATAAAACTTCAACTAAAACATAATGGACCAACTCTTTACTTAATTACCTTTTGTCATCTTGAAATATTTATTTTAAAAAATTATTAAAAAACTTAATTCATTATCATTCTCTTCTCTTTATGGTTGACAGGTACTAGTTTCTATTTAAGTGTTAATTACAACTAATAAAAAAAATATTAAAATAATTAAAGTGAGAACTAAAAGTTTATATAATTTAAAATCTAATCTAAATAATTTTTTTAATAGATTAAAAAATTATATTAGTTTACTAAATAAATTATAGTAAAACTATTCTAATCTAGGATGATCTCTTAATATTGGTACCAAAATGTAACTCAATGCATTTAATGTTTGAAACTATTGAAAATTTTGTAACATAGTATTGCAAGTAAAAATATTAATATAATTAGAAACACATGCTTTAATAATTAATTGTATTAACAATATAATATAATAACTTTTTATTAAAAATTTAAATATTTTAATAATTAAATAATATCTTCAAATTAATAATATAATTGTATACATAATAAAATTTCACGTTCAAATTATGACCAAAATATTTGTATACTAAAAAAAATAAAAAAAAAAAGGAGTCGGCAATAAATGGCCTGACGAACAGGTAACTACGGTGCTCATTTATTATGTGCTTATCACATGGTTCAGGGGGTGGCGGGTAATATTCTCTCAAAAACGTCTTTCTTCCATTTTCAAAAAATCTAACGGTAATCTCTTCTCTTCGCGTTGGGATCAAAACAAATCTTAAATTTTCTAATTCAATGCTCCCACCAACCCTAAAGTTTCCCTAATCAATTCTCCAACAGCAACTGATCCTTCTGGTCCCATTTTTTGGGGCAAGTGCTCCTATTTACATTCCTTCTTCTTCTTCCACATTTTTCATCTACTTTCAAAAAATAAAATTTACAATACCCAAATCCTTCAACATTCCAAACTTATATTATATACATACCCTTTTTATATTTGTCTCTGCTTGATTATCATCACTGCATAATATTGATTTCAGTTGGGTTTTGTTCATGTTACAAGGGTTAGGTTCGATTTTAGTTCATTTCAGTGGAAAATATATTAGTACGTTTAGGGTTCAAGAATGTGAGAGCTGGGAGTATTCAGGTTTGTTATGAGGAATAAAATGGAGGGTCTCAAGGTGGATGGGAAAGAAGAAAAAATTAAGAAGAGAGGGATTGATGGAGATCCTGGACACAGGCGTTCTAAGAGGTTTATTAATTTACTTTTTTGCTATTAATTTTTATTACTAAATGTTGCTGTTAATAATTAGTTCAATAATTATGATAACTTGTAGGGGGCTAACTTTAGGATGTAATGGGAAGTAGCTCAGTGAGTGGAAATTCTGGGTTGATCCAAATGCACTGTGCATGCATGGAAATTCGTTTGTATTTTTCTAATTTTCTATCCTTTTAGGGTTTCCCTGAATTTGTTTTTTTAGTCTTAACTTGATAAGCAAGTATAGGTTTTTCACTTTTTCTGATAGAGGATTCAAGTGTAGAGATTTGCAGGGTTTTGACTCAGTTATTTTGGAGTATTCTTTTATGTGGAGAGACTTTATGTTTCTTTAGGTTTTTATAGTTTGGTTCAGGCGCTGACTATAATCTCTTACTGTCTCTGGTATTGTTAAAGTTTTTGACATTTTATGCCTTTGTTCTAGTTTCACCATAACATATCGAGCTGAGTTTGATTATTCTTGAACATATAATTCTTGTTTCTTTTTCTCAGTTCTTCTGATCGAAATCCAGAGGTTTCAAGAGGTGGAGCCTTACACCCCAAAAAGGAGATCCAGAATGAAATATATGTAAGAAACCAGAAAAATCATAGCTAATGTCATCTTATAAGTTCATTTTGCACAAGAATGTTCAAAGCCATAAAGGGGTAGCATCATATTATATACTTTAAAACGAATGTAAATTATGGATTGAGTGACTTAATTTTATATACTTTAAAATGAATGTAAATCATGGATCGAGTGACTTAATCTTCTCTTTTTCTTTTCATTTTAAGCCTTTACGGGCGTCACCACTTTCAAGAAGAACTTCCGGAGCTCACAGTCCTCTACATAACCACCCAAAATACATGAGCAAGAATTCTTCAACCAACCACAGGGCCTCACTGGAGAAAGACGTAAGCAATATTTGAGCTCGTCAAGGATTAAATTGCACTAGGATTAAGTAACAGGATGATACTACTCAGCTTCTTAATTAGCTGTCATTCAATAATTCTTGAATGGGCGGCCAAGAATTGCTGAAAGCCTTATTAGTTAGTTGACTCCTATGAATAAACAGAGCCAAGGATTATATCTACTATAATCATGTTTCTCTTTCTTAATTTGTTCTTAATCTTTCTTTTGGCACCTAAGTTCAGGATATACATATTGAGAATTCTGAACATGTTATATAACATTAAAACGATCATAAGAGATCCATGGCGATTGCATGCATAAAATGTATTTGCCTCTAATTAGCAGACAACTCTTGTGATTCCATTTCAAGTCTGATTGAGTAGCTTTTACCAATAAAGAAAAAACAAGTTCAAGTTCACGGAGTTTCATCGTATCGTATCATGAAGGTCATGTGGGAATGAGCGCATATGATAATAAGAATAAATTCACTATTAGTTAATTTCCAAGTCTCAAGATCTAGATATTTTCTTCTCTCCCCTGAATATTGATTTGCAGATTGAGCAGCTCCAACTGCGTCTTCAGCAAGAGAAATCCATGAGAATGACCCTTGAGAGGGCAATGGGCCGTGTCTCAAGCACATTATCTCCAGGACACAGGCATTTTGCTGCACAGGTAATATACTATTATTTGTGAATTTGGTTCTGGACGAGTTATTGCAGAATTGAGTAAGAAAACTCTTATATGTCAGAGTGACATAAGGTATGCGCATTTTCTAAAGTTCGTAGTATAGTTTTTCTTTTGTGCTTGCTTGTCTTTATGAAAATCCTTTTTTTAGGACTAGCCCAAAGGCTTTTGAACCTCATGTCCCTTGTAGTCAAGTAGCATAAATAATTAGCTTATGAATTTCATGTTAAT